AATTATAATAAACAGATTAAGATTTTAAATATTTAGTTAAATAACTAAATATTTTAAATAACAAAATATTTAACATAACTAGATTTTAAATAGTTAAATAACAAAATTAGGTATTAATAGTACTATAATTTTATGGATTATTAAATTTAACAAGTAATTGATATTATAAAATTTAAATAATGATATTATTTCAATAAATAAATAATATTGTTAATAACTAATTTCATTTATACCAATTAATCATTCTAGAAAACAACTTTCAAAAAAATTATTGTTTATTAATAACAATTTTAAAAATTTAATATTTATTTATTATATATTTATCTATACTAAAATTAATATTTATTGTATTTCAGTATTAGTTATTTATTTTTGTGATAAATATATTTTCAATAATTATGTATAAATCTATTCTTTTTGTTATTCAATAGAAATTTTTCAATAATTATTAGAGATTAAACTATTTTTGTTTAGCTTTTTAAATTTAGTTTATTGTGTATTTCGCTATAAATTTTTGATAATTATTGGAGATTAAACTATCGTTCACGGTTTGGTTCGTTTTAGTTGTAAGTTGTTTAGCCAACCAAATCGACCTAGTTAGGTTGGGGAGTTGGTCACTCAGGTTATATCGGTTTGGGTCAAATTTTGGTTGGTCGGTCGGTTCAAAAGATTTAAAATTAAAAAATTAAGCTTAAATTAAAAAAAAAAATACAATGACATTATTAAAAAAATAAATTAAAAATTAAATTTATGATATAAACTATTTTAGCCTAAGAAATATTGGAAGTTTTCCACTTTCCCGTATTAAAAAATATATATTTAAAATATAAAATATTAATATATATCTATGATCGGGTCATTCAATTTTTATCAGTTTACAAATGGCCAAAGCGAAATTGATCCAAACCATTCGGGTTGGAGAAATGTTGAACCAAAGCTAACTAGAAATATTAGAAATCAGGTTAGTAAGTTTCATTAGTTTGATTCAAAATGGCAACGGGGCGGGGGCAAGGACAAGGAGCCTTTACCCATCCCTATTTCCACGGGGATCCCCACTCCCTGTGATTCTTTATAATGTCAACCATTATTTTTTTGTTTTTTATTTTATTTAAAAATAAAATAATTAAAATTTACAATCCTATTAGAAAACATTCAAACACATTCAACAATATTTTTAAAAATATTAACATATAAACGTATGTGTACATATATACATATATATTAACCAGGATCCTATGGGGCGGGGATCGGGGTCCACATGAGGCAGGAGTGTTCTCCCCGTCCTTGCATCGTCCCCGCCAAGAAGGATGAAAATTTGAAAATTTCCCCATCTCCGTCGGGGCAAATCCCCACGAGGATTAGGGAAATAGGGAAAATTGCCATCCCTAAGTTTGATAAACAACCCTATCTAAAATTAATCATTGTTATTTTTGTATTGTAAAAAAATTATTAAAAGTAGTATATAAAATATAAATGATTATTAATTATTATATAAAGCAATTGTATACAGGGATGTCAATGGGTCGGGTTAAATGGTAAACCTGGCTTGACCCAACCCTATAGAGTTGGGTTAGGGTCAAGTATATTTGGTTTGGGGTCGGATTAGAGTTTTGATTCTTTGGCCTGAGTTAGTTCAGGTTTTGGCTGACCCGCCCCACTAGGTCATGATGCCTTGCATATATACCAAGTATTCTTGCAATTTTTTGACTTCTAACTTTATAGGCTTAAAGTTTAATTTATTTATATGTTGATTTTGATTTTCTTCTTTTTTCAAATGGAAAAAATAACACCTTAAAATCCATAAAACAATTTCCTTATTTAAATTAATGTATTTTATGTCTTTAAAATGTGTTAAAAAATACATTTCAA